CAGTTTTGGGTTTCAGTGCTTTTGGTTTCTTAATGCGAGGTTTGGAGGCCTCGGCCTGTATTCTTTGGGCGGCAATCAGTTTCTGCATAAACTTTAGTAAATACTCGACTCGTGTCTGTAATTGCTTGGACTGAGGCTTTTGGTCGCCGTCTGCGAGTATCTGAACATTCAATTGTAATCATTAATAACATATACATTCAATACATAACATCAGATAATCACATACTTTATCAGCCAATCCATAGGACGGATCCATTTTGATGGCCTCCCAACTGCCCAAACCGTATTCATGAACACCAGTCAAAAGCCGCGAGTCGTCCTCAATATTCCAGAGCACATCCCAATGAACTGCCTTTACTTTCGATTTCAAAACCCATCTAAACGTATCAAAACAAATGGTCAATAATTGTTATCAAAATATATCTACATTTATATACTTCTTCTTCTCGTCCAGAGTCGGTGGCAAAAGAACATCCAATGCTTCCAATTCTTTCTGACACGAAAGGATGTTCTTAGGGAAAACACTGACTCCTCCCAACTTAAAGTTCGGACCCCTATTGTTCTTCTTGTTATTAGCGGTCACTAAAACACAACAATAATTAGATAAGGATTTCGAGAAATCATTCAAGACATTGAGACATACAATTGCTGTCTTCGGTCTGATTTTCGGAAACAAATTTCTCATTATATTCTTTGACGGCGTTTTCACAACCGAGTTGTAAGGCTTCGGCGATGCGCTTGAGATCAGTGGTAGACTTCTCTTGGAGTTCTGCGTCGATGGCAATGGATTCCAATCTGTTTAACGGATTCGGAAACTTCTTGAAACTCTTGATGAATCTGCGAACTTCTGTCTCAGAAAACCCTTTCACTATCTCTCGCGGCGATGCCTTCGGTCGTCCGCGTCTTTTCGGTTTATCGCTGTCCGAGTCATCGCTTCCCACGTCTTCCTTGTCGTCTTTGACCCGATTTGGGTCGTATTCCTCACCGCTGTCTGAGGGCGCGCCCGACTGTTGAGCAGATTTGCGACTTCTCGGCGGTAAAAACATATCCAGTCCTTCCTTCTGCTTCTCCTCCTCTTCGATCTTGAGTCGGTCCGCTTCGGGAATAATCTCATCCCAATCCTTCTCTTTGGCGACTTCCTCCACATGAGGCGAGTGCTGAGCACTTAAGGCACTCACGTCCTCGTCTTCATTGAAGTTAAAAGAGGCGACTTTGAAGGCCGACAACAACTCATCGCCAACCGATTGTGACCCATCTTCGCGGGTCTCAGCCCTGCGTAGGATCTCATCGATATCGCACTGCAGTTCGTCGTCTGCCTCTTCGCCCTCTTTAAACAGCTCTTCGGCACCAAACTTGAGAATTGCCGCCAACTCTTCCTTATTGAATGGCGTTGTGTTGGATCGCGAGTCAGAACTGTCTTTGGCTAACACTGTCCTCCCGGTTGTGTCCATTCGCTGTATGACGAGGTGATCCAAAACCATCTTTCGTTTGGCCCTTTCGATGATGTCTTCCTCAACACTGCCTTTGGTGACGAGCC